CTACAACCCATGTCTAAGCAAAAGCTTGTCGAGGAGCGAGGGGAAGAAGGGAGAAGTTATGGAACCTGTTGAATCTGTAGGACGACCCAAAACCAAATCGGGATTTGAAAAAAGGTGGAATGATCTAATCGGATCCCGATTTGGGTGAATCGCCTCCTCCACAGTTGCGGGACCACGGGCCACTCGCGCGGACGGCGCGTGTCCATGTACCCCTCTCTCTCTCTCCCTGCCCTCTCCACATAAACACCATCCACGGTCACACAACGCTGAGCATAGCGGAGAGAGAGAGCACAAATAGCCAACCCGAAGGAAGAGTGACTGCGCATTGTAGTTGCACGCCTGACTGGCGCCAGAAACAAACGTGTGGGGGGTATGTTGACCTGTGGGAAAGTCTTCCGTGGGTTGTTGAACCTCGAATACACAGACGAATTGGTTGTTATCCGTCGGACGAGGCTCGATTCAGAGTCTCACATGCACAGACACCGTGGCAGTACCGCACAGATCAGAGGCCATGAACGCGCTTGGTGTGCGCTCCTCAAGAGGGAAAAAGAGCTCCCCGTGTGATGTGACCACGTTACAACAGTAGTGCGTCACAACAGCAATCTGGCAGTTGGCAAGCGGCGGACCTCTCGTTGTTCGTGGTGGGCTGCTTCGTTTCCTTGTGGCAGGAGGAAGAAGATGTGCCGTGAAGACACACAGGCCATTTCCGTCCAGATTTAGGCAGATCCGACTCTTGTACTTTTAGACTATAATAGACCAGCAAATATGAATTCGCGATGTGATTTCATCGTTAAGACCTACCCTGATGGCTCTATTATAGCATTTTTGTGACCACGAACCGAGTCTTTGCTAGATCTTGGGATTAGCAACTGACACGAGTCTGAAGAAAACAAGAACAACAACATCATCAACAGTTGTCTTCGCAGAGGGTTTGTATTCAGGACATAGTCTACACATGTTGGACAAGCTTGGGGAAGGCGGTCCTCAGGGCAACCTCACTTTGGGGATCGACCGGATTACGTGGTACAGCAGTAAAATCAGCACTGGATAGTGACAGAGGTAAAGATACCGGGTATGGAGAGATCGGAACGGCTTGTAATTGTGCAAACAACAACAACCGCCGTGAATACGAAACATCAACCCGTAGGCTAACAATGTTATCGCTCTCGAAATAACTTTTACACCTTACCCATATTTATTGCTCTGGGCGTTGACCTGCACTCGCCCCAGCATGCCGACTTGGGTGTTGCCGATAACTCTGCGGTTCAAAACGGGCAGATGAAGAAAAAGATCATCCACGGGATCACAGCAGCAGGGAGAAGAAAGCAGATACGTCACCGTCTTTAGTGTGTACAGCAGTAGCGGCGGAAATGGTTGTCGAAGCGGACCCTCGCAACCTCTGGGCACACTGGCACACACACACGCCGACAGAATTTTCCCCGAGCTCTTTGCCATCCTGCGTCTCGGAGAGTTGCGTGTGTTCAAACACGACCAGCCGCACTGGCAAACCATGAGCTACATGGCCATTGGCGAGCGTGATAGGCTGCTCCCTGGTGGGCAGCAGCACCAGAGTGGGCACCGCGGCGGTGATGCGGAGAGGGGAGGGTGGAGGCGGTGGCGTCACGATGCCGGAAAGTTATGCATACAGCAGCAGCAGCAGCAGCAGCAGCAGCAGCAGCAGGGCGACAGCAGCAGGAGGCGCAGGTTGCTACCTGGGTACTGCCAGGTGACGAAGAAGAACGCGGTGGTGTGCGGGGGCTTGCTTATCATGTCTGGCATTACCCTGCTCGCTTGTAAGAGCCTGGCGCGTCCTTGTCCCACGGAAGAACCAGGCACAGAGAGACGAGGTGTTAGCCAAGTCACTCCTTCGGCACGAAGTAACCTTCTTCTCTCGCAGCAGCAGCAGCAGGATGAGGAGGACGGTGCTAGCGGGCAACCGCACGTGATATTTATCCTGATCGACGATGTCGGTACGAACGACATGGGCTACCGAAGCACGGATCTTTGGGAGCTGACGCCGTTCTTGGACTCCCTGGCCTCAAGTGGGGTTGTCCTCGACAACTACTACACGAATCAACTCTGTACGCCCTCCCGGGTAAGTTTCTGCTAGACGACACAACCTGTGAGAGCGACCAAGTTCGGACTGCTGCACGTGTTTGTGGTTGAAACCATCAACATGTTGGTGTAAACCACCGGCGTGGTTCGGGTATGTACAGACAAGCAGGGCAGCCCCGTTGAACCCACCAGTCACAAACCCCATAAATCACAAGTTATAAGCGTTTCAACGGTTTTACGTTCGGTCCGACTAATACGTTTCCCAATCCAAAACTCACAATTTGGCGGTTTTACAACGGTGCGAGTACAAAGTTGTCCCGCACTCCTATCTACCTCCCGCGGGAGAGTTTGTTGATTCTCTTGAGTCTTAGAGCCCACTTCACTCAAGCCACGCACATGGGGGGCATATCCTGTGCCACTACTGACGACGTTTCGCGTATACTCTGAACTCTTCATGTATGTGCTACAACACGCACGTACCCGTTTTGTGTGATCACAAGTGTTGCGAGTGGTCGCAAGAGCGGGCACTAGGTCGCGCATTGGTTACCCCGACGGTTCCCGCCGCGGGTCCCCTCTGCTCTACATTGGAATTAGAGTGCCTGGTACGGCCCCGAAAATGGCCAGAATAAGGAAATGGGTACCTAGGTGTGCAAGACATTCGTTGTACATACACCCTGGTCTACACGGAGTTACTACAGTAGATAGGGCGGGGTAATCAACTGCGGGGTAGCCGACTCAGCACCTGGAGAAGCGTAGTCTATGTATCTGCGATACATTTTTTGTGCGTTGTCAATCATTTTGTAAGAAAAGGTTTCTTCCTGAACGAACGGCTGTTGGCGTGTGGCGTGTACCGTGACACAAGATACCACACCCCCGGGACCAATCTCAAAGATCGGTTGCTCCACACCACAAAGAGTGGCGGTGCCGATAACGGTCATGTGGGAACCGTCTCGTCGAGAGCTTTCCGGCAATTTCTCGCTATGTGTGCGCATCCTCCTCGATGTGGAGTACTCGAGCTGTAACAATCGGTACAGGGGGTGTGGTGTCTGATGTCACCTACGGTAGACGTCACACATACGTTCCCCCACCGATTTGGGTTTTCGGTAAATTCTCTGCACAAAGTGACGCAGGAGCAACTGTAATGCTTGCTCGCTTGTATGCAACGTCATCTGTGGCGGCTGATAGAGGACACGGGGCCATAGGGCCCACGGAAGCTGATGTGGCGAGAGTCTGCCAAATGCATGCATGCATGCGAGAAAAACAGGCCTTTTTTGGCACCGACTCGTTTTATTTCCAGGTAAACCCTCCCCACACACCGAAGCAGCAGCATTGACAATGGTATCCGCCACGAACTGTGTGTGTGGCTCCCTTTCCCCGCCTGTGCTGTCTTACCGCTCCCAGCGGTGTTGCGTGTTTAGATGACCTCTTTCGAACTGGTGGACTTCGTGTATCTTTATCGTTAGCATCGACTGTGTGTGTATACCGTGTGTGTTTGTTGTAAGCATCGACCGCGCTATCCGGCTGACCAATGAAAATACGTCATTCTTGGTGCCGTTGAAAGCACAAAACGCTATTGTCTGCCATGAACTGGGACCCCGTGAGTGGACAGCATGGGGAGGGGGCGTACTCNGCGCTATCCGGCTGACCAATGAAAATACGTCATTCTTGGTGCCGTTGAAAGCACAAAACGCTATTGTCTGCCATGAACTGGGACCCCGTGAGTGGACAGCATGGGGAGGGGGCGTACTCTATTGTTTTGCATGCCTTAGCGGTTAGACCATTGACCACGCGTCCTCGAGAGGACGAAGTATTTTTCCCACAGGACTGATCACCGATGGCCAATCGTTCCTTTCTACTGTCTGTCGTTGATTTTTTAAAGTAGTTTTTTTTTTGAAAAAGTGTGGCCCGTTAGGGGTACGCTTTTTGTTTTGTTTCGCAAAAAAAAAGCTGTTTAGAGGGATCGTGTGTGGAGTATGTGCGCACGAGAAAAGAATAATTTTCATGCACAGGGGCGTGAAAATTTAGCCATGGCTGTCTGTCTGCGCGCCCTAAATACACAGCAGACTCGAGCCCATTTCACCATCTCGGCACCAAATTGCAAATTAAAACTTGCGCACAGCAAGCAATATTTTGCCCGAGCTGTCCCAACCGCTACCTTTGCAATCCGTGGTCGGTGTCTCGAGATAGCACACCGTTTGTGCAAATATATATGTCACATGGACGCATCCCCGGGAGGCGTTATTTTTGTTTCTTTCTGGGCAACAAACTACACGCACTTAAATAAGAAACCACAACGCACTGCTGTGCTGCACACACTACTGCTGCTACTGGCAACACACGCACTACACAGACAGGGAATATGGACAAGCAGGGCGGTACACACACACATACTGCTGTTAGCGACGGCGGATGAAGCGGAGAACCTTTGGTTGGTCTGGGGTTCATTCATCGCTGATGATATTGTTGTTGCTGTTTCCGTTGGTTGTTAACTGTTGTTCAACGCTGCCGGCCTTTTTTTCGCCTTTTTTTCTTTGGAGAGAGAGGGAGTCCCACCAACCAGCGTGTGTTGCACACACCACACAGCGAGAGCGGGACGGGAGCAGGGTGTGCCCTATACTACTGCTGCTGCTAG